TTGGGTACTCGCCGCTGCAAAAGCTGTGCGCTGACGTCCAGGTTCCTCGAGAAATGGCGCTTTGATGCTTTGTGCAACCAGATCTCGCGCTCCAAATCTGGAACCGCGGGCACTATATATGGCGCTGTCGTGGAATCGTCGAATCGCCAGGCTTTGTGAGTATAAAGGAGGCTATGCCACGATAGATGGTCGTGGAATAGCGGACGATACGGAGGCTGCCGCTCGTTTGCTCGCGCGACTAGCAGGCGGTGACCGACGCCAGACTAGACGCACCGGATGTCAAGAAGACTTTAAAATCAGTCCACTTTAGGAACTTCAATGTTCAGGGTCCACGCTAGAAACTTCAAACGATGTTAGTAGACATATAAATTTGTACCTAAAGCAACACTGAAACCTAATGAAAGTCATTTTTTTAGATTCTCCGGGCAGGAACAGACACTGCGTGTCTTAAGGAGATCAGGGAGGCTTCTGGTGGAGGCTTCCCATGAGCGTGAGTGGGCGGCGTTTCAATCCGGACGCATCTCAGCTAGAAACATCAAACGTTGAACTCTATCGGGAGAATATGCTGCGAAAAATTGATACAGCTATCGCTTTTACTTATTTGCAAGATGTGGGTGAAAAATGCGACTTTCATATGATTTCTTTGTCTTGGGCTTACTATTAATATCATTCACCATGTAGCTTTCGTTTCTTTCCCCGTCTTGAAATTATTATAAGAATTACTGGTTATTGCTTGACTCAGGCAAGGTTGATGAATTGTAGAACATCATTTCCCACGGACGATCGCGGCGGCCTTGTGACTGCTTATGAGGCTAGGCGAAAGAGGCTCATGCTGCCCTCGTTCTGATGTTCACAGAACGTCTGACGTTACAACACAATGGCGAACCAGTAAATTCTCAGGTTAGATTCGGTTTGGGTTTTAGCGCATTCTTACAGTTAAGCATTATTTAAACAGATTTTGGAATATTCATTTGCTGACTTAGGTTCAGTTCCTTGCACTCGTTTAAACAATATCTTTACTAGTTGTAAAAGGTCAAATTAAAACTATCCTTCGTCCTTTGTTTCGGAAGTTCAAATTTCGGGAAGTAATTTACTCCTCCCAATAATGTGCTACGAGCTGTCAGGCTGTACCACATTACCAGAAGCCTGTCAGGCTTCCGGTAATGTACTCAAACCGGAAGCCTGTCAGGTGCGCAGCAGTCATCTCACGAACACACACCGGTGCAGAGCTTGTGCACATCGAAATCAACTACGGTTCGTACAAAAACGTCAGACCAAACTAGGTTTGGTGTTATCCATTAGGCGACTTCAATCTGCGTTTGATCTGGGCGCCATGAAAGCCTGCGCGTCCACTCCGTAGCCGCAGGGAGGAGCTTCAGTTGTCCCACCTCCAGCGCAAGCTTCCTACCTTCGGCGGCGCGTGGGGCCATAGCCTCCTATATACTGACAAAGCCTGACAGATCACCACGACAAGCTGCCGCCGAAAGGGAAAAGGTGGAGCGGTAGACAACGGACGAGAGGAGAGCCACGTGACTGGCGCTCCGCTGCGCCGAAACGCCGACACACACTTCTCCCGAGCGAACAAGTGTGTTTCGTCTCCTCGCCGCTGCAAAAGCTGTGCGCTGACGTACAGGTTCCCCGAGAAATGGCTCTTTGATACTCAGTGCTACCAGATCTTCGCGCTCTAAATCTGCGACCGGGCACTCTATGACTCCGTTGTCGAACTGCCACGTTTTGTGAGTACAAGGAGTATTCACTGGCGGTCATAGCTGTGTGCGCGAAGGCTGACATAGCGCGTGCTGACAGCGAGCTTCCACAATTCTTTTGCAACGTGCATTCCGCACCATTAAGACTGCCGGTCTTAGCAGCCTATTGATGTGAGCTCGTTCTGAGCATGCGCTCTAAACGGCATTCACAATTATGGCGTTCAGCAAATAGTCCCTATAGAGGAGGCTATGCTGAGGCATTGAGCGCGCGCGCGCAGCGCCGGAAGGCATGAAGCAGCGCGTGCTGGAGGCCGGGCGTTCGAAAGACACGCACTGCCGTTCTCACTTTGTCAGTGACTTTAGACTAACTCAACCCTCTGACGTCACACCGTTGCGGTGGCGCTTCTGTCTGTACTGCGCATGCGCAGAGTAGGAATCCAAAGGAAAACTCTGTCTTCTAGGCGTTGTTAAATAAATATCATGACTAGTAAAAAGAAAACATAAAAACATAATTGATACCGTTGAGAGCACCCTGGGCGAAAATATTTGATTGGCCTTCATAAAGAAAACAAGAAACACTGGTCTGCAATGAGAAATATTTTAATATAAAACCCCTCTCCGGTTTTGTCATTACAATAGTGACTTTTCTTGTTGCTGAAGGGCTCCAAGACGTGGTGCGCACGTATCTAAAAAAAAAAGAACTACTTAAAATGGAGCCCGTTCACGCAATCGTATTTTATCGAATTTGGTACATTTTATTGCGATGGCACACAAGGATTAATAATTATTTCTCCATAAAAAATATAGCAAGTAAAAACAGGAAAACATATGTCGAAGAGTTCTGCGGCATGGCTCCTTCGCACTAAAATGGGTCGCGAAAAGTGTTTACTGGAAACAGAGGACAATTTTTAATAGGCAATATGAATGCTCACTAAACTTATGATTGATGCAGAGATGTAAAACAAACCCGAATATGACGGCTCCAAAAGGCACGATGATAATACCTGGCAGGAATTTCCGAATATGGCCTATTTTTGTTTGAGTTCCTTTTTTTGTGTTTAATATTGCTTGTGCACTGCATTTCTTGCATGCAACTCTATGCGCTCCCCGTCTTCGTTTTTTCTCTTTGCCAAACTCAGCCTTTCCAGTTCGAAAGGGCGTGCGCCCCTTCGAACTGGAAAAGCTGTTTGGCAAAACGACGCAGCGTAGAAGAGGAAACTAAATGTTCTGTTTGCTGGTTCTGGAAATTCACACACCAGGCATCGTTCTGGAAATGCCTGCTAATCTTGGAAGTTAGTACACCCCTTTCAAGTCCCCAGCGAGCAACATTGACAATCACCATTTTTTGAGGCACGAAGCGAGTGATTGGATTCGCGTCCTCGCTGAACGATGACGCATTACTCTTTTTTTACGAGCTGATTTGTGCTTACGCCGTACGCTGACAGAACTCCCTCGTGTCAACAACGTGCTCAGAGTACGTGACCACGCACTGGTGGACTCGAATTATTGGAGCAGCAGCTACTAAATAACGCGCGTTAAAAAAAATACTTCTGCTTTTAGTGGTTTGTTGAATCTAGCTGCACTAAGTCTCGCTCATGCAGCATTAGCGACGACTTCAATAGACCGAGCTAAAACCAATCTTCACAACTTGGAGTTTGCGGCCAAGGATTCCAGCTTGCTTGCCTCTTCGTGAACGCCGACATCATCGCGTCGTGGTTTGTGATCAGCGATCGGTTCTTTTGTCTGGCCCGGCGACCCGTCGAGGGACCTTGATCAATCACTGCAGCGCGTGGGTCATAAATGAGAGATCAAATCTGACGTGAGCCTTTTTCATAACCTGACGGCCCAAAGACTGTCAGGTTCGCGTCCCTGACGTCACTTCGCCGCGGTGGCGCTGCTATTGATAGTGTGCATGCGCAGACGTCTTACGCGAGTCTGGTTCCTGTGTAGGCGCAGTGCCGAGCGGACTGCCACCGCGATGCCGTGACGTCAGAAGGATTGAGTAGATGTATTGATAATGAGCATAAAAGTAAAAGAACAGCATTATCCGTTCGCTTGGCAAAATAAGCAGGGTGAGCGCGCACTCGGAATACACTACTTCCAAAAATCCCTGAATGCAACATTGCGCGTTGCATTATGGGACATCTTTCTGAAGGCCTGGCTATCACTCCGGAGTGCAATATGAACCCTATAGGATCACGGATCACTTAAGAAGGCGATTGAGACGATGGAATAGGGTGATCGGCGCAGTACACATAACCTTCTCCTTTGTTTACCTGCGCACAACCTCTGCTACGTCGAAAACTCCCCCGCTCCCCCCCCCCCCCCCCAAAAAAAAAAGGGTCCCAGCAATTTATCTGGGTTAGTAGACCGCACCCACAAAATTATAAATTTGAGGAATGTCACCAATTCAAAAAGGTATGTACCGTATTTTGTCGTTACGGGATGTCGTGAATTGAGGTTGGCAAATCGAAACCGAAACGGTGGCCAAAAGGTACCCATGCAAGATGCTTTGCGCGGCACTACGCCGCTAGAATCGTCTCGATTTGCGAACTAGATCGTATTCTAAACGATGTCATTTTCTGGGATCTTTTTATGACTTGCCCCAATTCGCCTGTCTTACGTTCTGTAGAAAACCGAATGCACAAACCTTTCTTTCTCGAACGTATCATCTGGCTGCATCGAAATTGTCTTCTTCACTGTCAGCAACTAGGTTTGGATAATTGAATTGAACCATGGTTAAAAGCGCTAAAAAAGACGTACACAAGAAAGAAGACAAACACGGGCGCTACTAAAAGAACTTGTTGTTGGGCTAGTTGGTGTTGACTGAATTGAACCATGGTTAAAAGCGCTAAAAAAGACGTACACAAGAAAGAAGACAAACACGGGCGTCTTCTTTCTTGTGTACGTCTTTTTTAGCGCTTTTAACCATGGTTCAATTCAGTCAACACCAACTAGCCCAACAACAAGTTCTTTTATAGGTTTGGATAGTCTTTCTTTGTCTTCCGGGTTAATTCGGATCTTCGTTCTTGATTTACTATAACATCGCACTAAATTCTAATCTAAGCCACATAGTAAAGGCTTAGAATGTGAACAGCCCTCAATGAAAATATTTCTATCACTCCACATGTTGGTTTTATTCGCGGTTTTGCATAAACTATCAATTATGAGCAATCTCCAGTTTTTGTTCATGAATTTATTACGTGCACAATTATTCCAATGTTACGATGGAATAGGATACAACTCCAATGATGCTGTTGTCCTTATTAATCTTGCAAACGTGAGGTAGCTGTGTCAGTACTTTTCAAACTTCACCCAAAGTCCTCGCTTTAAATAACCCAAGAGAAGCATCTCTTCCATGTCCTTGTCACTCATGTCCGCCTGTAATAAAGCGTGGAGCAAATATATCGCAAATCCAGTCTGACCATAAATATTTAATCCGCGTTTATATCGCCGAAGGGTGTCTTTTTAAAGCCGCTGTCATAGTGCTAATCCATCATACAATAGTCATATCTACAGAGAATGTCTGAGGAAGGTTTCTCTCTTGAATGACGATACTAGTCCCAATAGTCATACAAAAACTGTCTACGAAAATGTTCGAAGATACATATGTGTGAAGCATGCCCCGAATGTTCCTGGTGTCGTGTTCGTGGATAATTATGTCATTCTGAGCGAAGTGAGCATCGTGTATCTTGTATGATGTATACGAGCAGTGCGACTACGACTTCTGGGTGTACTAGTGGCACAACGAGGACTAGCGATAATTCATCGTGTAATCTGTACAATGTACGAGCAGCATGGTTTTAAAGTGCATAGGGGTAATACATCGGGTATTTGTTCAATGCCTGAGCAGTGTGAAGAATGCAGTTCTAGAGCGTGCTAGCTACAAAAGAGGGCAAAGCTCACCTCGTGATCAGACTGGGTGAGAACAAGCCTGTACTTCGCTATCACCTTGGCTGTCAGGAGCATGATGACGTTCTTTGAGAACGCCATCGCGAAACAGTTTCGGGGTCCGGCGCCGAAAGGCTGGAACGCACCCGCATCCTCATGCTCAAAATGTTCCGGGCAAAATCTAGAGGCCGAAAAAAAATTACATACTTGAGAGAATGAAACAATTAGCATTAAAAAATGCTATTGCTCCTGCATCCAACAGAAGAGACATTCGTTGTAGACAAGATGACGGAATTATCCGTGGACCCCCCCCCCCCCTTCCCCCCCCCCCCCCCCCGCCCCCTTCAAGCATGTTCCAGCAATCTTTTGCTTTCTTGCATTTCTATGCTTCAGAGATTGCTAAAATAGCCTCCTTTATACTCACAAAGCCTGTCAGTTCGACGACAGAGCTATAGAGTGCCCGGTAGCAGATTTGGAACGCGAGGATTTGGTAGCACAGAGCATCAAAGAGCCATTTCTCGGGGAACCTGGATGTCACAGAAGAACTTTTGCAGCGGCGAGGACCAAAAACACACTTGTTCGCTCGGGAGAAGTGTGTTTCGGCATCTCGCCGTAACGGGGTGCCAGTCACGTGGCTCTCCTCTCATCCGTTGTCTGCCGCTCCACCTTTTCCATTTTGGCGGCCGCTGCTCGTTGCGACCTGCCAGGCTTTGTCAGTATATAGGAGGCTATGTCTCTACAGACAGTTCTTTGTAAGTAAAACGCAAGCCACAGACACTGTCCGCAGCTTAACCAATGTCGAATGTTAGATCGTTTAGCTATGTCACCTTTCGGGATTGAAGCTGGTCGGGTCTTGCCATAGCTCCGGGTCGTGATGGAGGAGGTAGGTCGGGATAATGATGCTCACTCCCTCGGGGATTTTGACGCAGCCAACATCGAGTTCGTTTTCTACGAGACGAGTAACAAACCTGAAACCGCAAAGGGGCGGAGCGTGTCAGCGGGTGAAAATATTGTTTCTCGTTCAGCAAAGAGAAAAAAAAAAAAGAAACTCCGCACTATTTAAAGGCTCGTTCACACTTGCGTTTTTTTAACTCGGTACGCTAGTGTCGTGACTCACTAGGTGCGCAAATTCGCTGGCGTAAATCCGTTCTACCTTTATCACAAACTAGCAATTACGCTAGGAAAAAAAAACAAAAAACGGCGAAGGCTTTGGCATTATTTCTTTGACAAATTACCCAAGCACAACAGAGAATGCTCAAAATGTGGATAGATGTGCCGCACACGCTCGTCTTATCTGAAGGAACGTATAATTTGTTTTAGATTTTCTTTTGAAAAGTTACTCCTGCAGAAGCGACGCGGTGTAACTACTGTTGTAGAATGCATATGTCCCTTGGTGCTCGGACAATTTAACAGGACGTTTATAAACCATACCAGAAAAGCGCTTCTTGACGGTGCCATTTTCAGCGTTTGTGCGTGTTTTACGTCCTTGTTCGCTTTTCGAAGTGACGAACATCTGCGTGCTGGGCTGTCATTTAACATACGTGAACTGTAATTCTCGAAAACATTCAAAGGCGTAAAGAATGGAATAAACCGCATTCGTGTAGGGCAGGCGGCAGGTTACTCTTCACGAAGATAGTGCTAAAATGAAAATTAAAACAACTCCGTAGCCACCAAGCCAAACATCAAGGTGCAATGACATTTGTTTAAAACACACAAGTACACTATTCAAAATCAAATAAAGGATAGCTTATTTAAGATGCAATAGTGCCTAAAGTACAGAAGTGCATCATTATGTTAAAATTCAATATAAGGTAACCGAAAACGAGTGTTCACAGGGTAAGGGGTTAGTTTACCAATCTCACCAGCTAGTTTTGCTACGCCACCGCTGTCACCGTGCATCGCGGGAACTGTAGTCTTGCTGTACGCCCGACAACCCCTCTGGGTGTGTCCGCGAGCAGAACGACAGCACGAGCTGTTTTGTCAACTGGCTCCTACCTCCGGCGGACTACAGCTACGGCGGCGCCTCGCATGCGTGGAACGCTTAGTGAGGCCGGTTTATTTCATATAAAGTATTTCTAAAAATAAGTTTTGGTTTGTCGCAGCTTCTATCAGCGGTAAATTCACACGCGTCTCCTCAACGACGTTTAAAAATTTTCTAGTTTTAAAACCTTTTCAACTCTATTTAACATTTATCTGCAATAGAATGAAATAAAACAAAATGAGAGGCGCTATCAAGCGGCTCCGGTGCAGCGTCAGACTTGGCTACTGCGCAACGGAGGCGCACAGCTGGGCACGCGGCGGCGCCAGTGCGTCTGCCGCGGCTATGACGTCACTCCTCTGGAATGCGCAGACTGGCGAGGCGCGCGCGGCGGCGGCGGCTACGGCGCGCCAGCTGTACGCCGTGTGACGTCACTGCTCCTCGCGCATGCGCAGCACGGCTCTCCAGGAGCCACGCGAAACAGCTCAATCTCCGCCAGTGTAGCTCACGCTACAAAAACGTCTTCATCACCTCTTTTGCGAGAAACAGTTGCACTCTAAACATTTGACAAACATACCAGGCAACGGTTTTTTCGTATATTAATGTAGCTGAAGAACCGGTCCCTAAAACTATGTAATATCAAAAACGAATACCAGTGTGTCGACGGTCATGTCTAAACTAATACTTGACCTTCACTTAGTCGATTTACGTCTCGCTTTCGAAAGATCGTTTGCATGAATGTAACTTCGAGAGCAGCTCAAGCAATATACGACGGCCTCCGCTCTCCAATGCTGACGATAAGACCACCCTACTAAAATATTTGAAAAAAAAATTACTGCTGCGGCAAACGTTGATGAGGGCTAGAATGGGCTCTGTTTTTCTCGATATTCTTAGCGCTCGTCTTTGGACGGAGGTTGTAGATGTATCGTAGTTTGGGTTTTTGTATAAGATATGTCAACCGTGTCTGGTATGCGTCGCTATACTCCTTTCATCCTTAACCTGAGACTATAAGCTCCGCCTACAGTGCGAGCTTTCTGCCCTTGCTACCACAAGTGTAAACGCGCAGGCACGCGCAACCAAAGCACTGCGGGAGCTAGCGAGCTCGCGCTGAAGGCGGAGCTTCTAGTCCTAGCTTAAGGGCGAATGAAGTATAGTGTTGTTGTCTATAGAAACATATTTTGACGTATTAAATGTTTGTTCTTCGACTGGAGCCGCTTGCTTGTCACTTGGGCCTCGGTGACTACACCACATGCTGATCACGTCTCCAAACCCCCCCCCCCCCCCCCCCCGATCACGCACTTTCAACCCTAAAAACATATTTTCCAAGGCTGAGTGTAAGCCCAGCTGTTTGTCCTGTAATAGGCTGTAACAGGCTCGTAGGGCTGCACGTAGGTGCAAGTAATTTTCTTTTTGGAGAGATCCCCAACTGAACACATCGTCAATGTAGACACGCGTCCCTTCAAGGTCAACCAAAAGTCGGCTATTCGTTTTTTCAAACACTTCCTTGACGGAATTATTTCCAAGGGGTATCTGCCAGAAGATGTGCTGAACGTGGAAACCTTAGAGGTTGCATCATCCAACGGGATTGCTGAAATCCGAAGTTACCATCTAATTCGCTGAGGAAATTGGCACCCGCAAGTTCGGCCTCAATTTCTTTCCGACGGGGTAGTTCATAATGCTCGCGCTTCAAGCTTGATTCACGGGCCGTGGGTCCATGCACACTCGGAGGCATTCATCTTTTTTTTTTTATTATTTCAAGAGGTCTTATTCAGTCGGAGGGCTCCTCTATCTTGGTTATCGTATCCTCAAATACTACGCGATCCAACTCCTTGCGTAGAGGAGCCCGCAAGGCGTGCGGCACTTTTCTTGGCGGCAGAGACACTGGCCATATCCTTACTTGAGGGACAGGGTGTAGGCTCGTTTAGTGCACCCCAGTCCTTTGAACAGCGCAGGAAATTAGGTAATCACCTCTCGCTTGAGGTCTTCTGATGCAGATACTGAATGGACACGCGAAACAAGTCCGAAGTGTTGTGGTCGGTTTGCCTTGATGCGTACCTGACCCGGTGAACACGGGGCCAACGGTTTTAACAAAAAGAAACTACATTTAATTGCATATGGACAAGACGATTAACATTGTTACCAGCAGCGCCTGAGTTCAGGCAGTGACTGCCTCTGGGCCGCCTCTGATCCGCCTTATCAAGGCGGCGCGTGCGATGTGCGCGTGGCTGGCGTGACTTCGCCGCCATGTGGGAAAAGGTCGTCACCAGTGCCCCACAGCAGGGCAACTAGGTTGGGGAACCGCCAGGGTGCCCACAGTGTTTACACGCGTACAGTCCCAACAAGGTCGTCAATCCTTTCTGCATGACGAGGAACGTCGCAATGTCTTTTCCTCCAATTTGCAGCGACAAGGTGACCGTTCTGAAGTGTTGGATTAGTCCTCCTCCATAGATTGTAAGCACCATCTTGCAGGGGCTTGGATCCATTTTGTGGCAGATCTTGCGAAGCCAAAAATAGAGCAAGAAATTCGCCTGGGCTCCGGTGTCGACTTTCACATGCATTGCGTGCCTCGCAGCTTGGGCTGTGATTATCCAGACATCTTGACCACTCGACATTTCGCAAATGTTGACAGTCAAGATGTAAATGTCGTATTTAGATTCATCATATGATTGCTGCTCGCAGTCTTCTTCAGATGATCGCTTTTGCCGGTTCACCTCTTGAATGTTTGTCTTTCGACTCTAACATGCAGCAATGCCGGGTTTTTTCCGGCAAAATCCACACGTCTTTCCCCAGGGTGGTCAGTTTCTCGGCTCGTGACTTTTGTTACAGTAGCTACAACGCTTCTTCTTTTGTCGCAGTCACGGTGGAAGAAACACATTTAGGTGATGACTCTGGCCACTGTTCCCGCGGGGAGCGAGCTACCAGATCGCGACCAACTCTATACTTACGACCACTCCATCTGAGCGCTCCCTATGGAAGAGCCTGCTCCCGGCTGCTGATGATGATGATGATTTTATGGCTGTTCCCTTTGAAGCGGGCGGTTTGAAGAGAAATCAGACCTAGCCGAATAAAAACGGAGAGAAATAATTGCACTACTGTTGCATTCTTCGCCACCAGTCCTCCAGCCTCCTTTTAGTCCTCTCGACTGCGTCGCTGCACTTCCAGCTGGGCTGCAGTGCCACTGCAGCGCGATTTAAGTCCGCACTGGGCCAGCAAACAGCATCCCTGCCCGTGTCCCCAACTCGGAAGCCGAGGGCTTCTGCCAGAAATTGTTCGTGTGATTGTGCCTCGTCTAGATGCAGCCCGTTGTCTGGCGCCTGGCCGCAATCTACCGGGTGTCTTGGTACGAGACTTGGGCAGGAGAGCACAATATGCTTGATAGTTTCCTCGGTTTCGCCACATGCCCGGCATGATGTTGATTGTACCTGTTGGTCAAAACGCTGCCTGTACACTAGCGCTCTTAGCCCTCCCGCACGTGCTTCAAAAAGCAGGCGGCTGCCCAGGCTATTATCATACAGGGTTGTCTCTGTCGATATTTCATTTTTCCAGTGGTTGTACACTTGCAGGGTTGACTTTGAGCGGGCCGCCTCCGACCACTGCACAGCCTCTTCCTCGCGCACTCTCTTCCGCACCTGAGGGTGCGGAAGAGTCCCCGGCTTTTCCGGCCCCCCCAACGCTGCTAGGGGATGCACAGGGCCAGGACGGGCTGCAGTGCCATACCCCCGTGCAATTTCCAGAAACCAACACGTTCACGAACTCTGGACCTACTGCCAAGGAAAGTCTGTACGAACACAAGGACAGAGGTACAGATAAGAACCAGCTTCACCCGTCTGCGTGGACCTACGACCTGGTAGTAGAAGAGATGACCCAGAAGGCCAACGAAAATAACATGTCATCGTCAGACAGAGGGCTTGTGAGCAAGGGGTGGACAGAGGAGCGCGCAGGCTATAACTACAGTGTTTGCACCTCACTCGAGTGTGCACAAACATCGCA